AGTGGCTCTTTAAAACCAAGGAAATTTTGAAAATTGTAACTTTTGGCTCTTCCGCTTCAAAAGGTTGCCGACCCCTGGCATAGGTAATAAAATAAAGCTTAGTGGCTTAATGCTACTAAATATTGATTGTGAAAGCGGGGGGGGGGGGGGGGGGGGATGTGATAAAAAGGGAATATTTGACTTAAGCTACAAAAAAGAGAAAGAGAAAGGGGAGGGTTGTAAAAAGAAAAATAAACGGAAAAACATACAAATAACGCTAGAGAAACAGAGAGAAACAATATATGGAGTGGGAGGGGTGAAGATAAATAGATACAAAGTTAGAGAGTGAGGTAAAATGAGGGACGGGAGCATAGAGAGGTAGGGACTGATGAGGTAAAGAGATAGAGAGAGATGTAATTGAATAAAGAGAGGTAGATAAAGACAAAAATAAAGAGATAAATTGAGGTAAAGACAGATGAGGAAGGTAGGGATAGAGTGAGGTAGTGAGAAAATCAGCAAGGAATGAAATTAGAAATAGAGAGATAGAGAGGGATAGAGAGAGACAGGACCCGAGAGGGATGGGGAGGAGATAGAAATAGAGAGATAGAGAGGGATAGAGAGAGATAAGTCCGAGAGGGATGGGGAGATATAAATAGAGAGATAAAGAAAGAGATAGTAGTGAGGTAGAGGGTGTTTGATAGAGGTTGTGAGGAATACAGAAGAGAATGAAATTAGAAAGAAATAGAGAGAGAGAGAGAGAGAGAGAGAGAGAGAGGGTTCGGAGAAAGATCTGGGCATAGCAATAGATAGATATAGAGAGGGATACAGAGAGAGTGGGTAGAAAGAGGTAGGGGTAGACAGGTGTATATAAAAAGGTAGCGTTGGTTAGACAGAGATAGAGTGAAAAAGAAAAACAGAGAGAAAGAGAGAGAGAGAGAGAGAGAGAGAGAGAGAGAGAGCAACCAATAAAGATACAAAAGAGAACGAGTTGAGTCAAAGCGCACGTGCCTCTATGGTGTACGCTAGCATCTAAACCTTCATTAGCATTTTAACCATCTCATTCTGTGAAGCACACAACGAAGCAGCAGCCGAGATCTCTTATGCAATGCAGGCTGGGAGTGCCGGTTAGGATTGCCGGCATGGAATGCCGGCGTCTAAGACGTTTTCGCAATGCCGGCTTGTACAAATGTTTGTTTTATTGATCCACGTGTGCCGTTGGATCACTTGTGCGGCGACGGCCTGTTGTTGCGATTAGCGGTGAACGGTCTGCTGTTTCGGTTAACGACGAAAGGCCCTTGTTTCTATGAACAACAAACGGCCTGTTGTCTCGATTAGCGCCACTCGACCGTCATTTCTTATTGCCTGTCTTTAATTCTGTTCGGGCTATAAATTGAGTTCAATAATCTTATCACTCATCTGAATAAAATACTCCAACTCTAACTTCAAATTAAAAAAAAATCCAACTAAATTATAATTATAGTACAAAATAGTAATCCTAATCTAAACGTGAATATACACACGGACAATATGCATATGTTATAGCCTTAACTAAATCTTAGTCTTTAGAAAATTACTAGTATCCAAAACGTTTTTTGTCAACTTTTAAAAAATCTTTAAAAATAAATAAAAAAAACTTTCAATGATTACCAAATAAACATTACATGATGTATATCTGAAAAGTTAATTAAAATCGCAATTTAATTACATCAAGCGCAAATTAATATACCGTAACATGTGTCCATTTTGACGTCATTACATTCCGGCATGCGGAAATTCCCAATTGCTTTTGCGCAAATTGATTTTATATTTTATCTGTGGCGATATTTTAAGAGCAGGACTACTTTTTTTTTCCTTGCCGCGTCGACATAAATATGAAGTTAATGGTCGGCTCTTAAGTAATGAATAATTAATTAGAACTTGATCGATTGTAAATTGATTTCGTGAAACCTGGTCATTAATCTTTCACGTTTTGATTAATGGAACATGTGCTTAAAATTTAATTAGTCAATCATCGTTGTGACGTACACGTCAACATTTATTACCTAATATATTCTCCTCCTGTCTTTACAGGATCCTGTATGTAGCATACAGTAAAGAGGGCAAAGTTTCAAAGGCAAATATTCAGGTCAAATCTACTTCCTCTGCCCTAGAAGATATTGAATGCTGTGGAAAGAGTTTGCGCGTGCAAATAAAAGTCAAAAGGTAGGTTTAAACAAAACGATCAGATTTTTTTCTCTTTCTGAATAATTCTACTTTTAGGCTGGCTTGTTTTATTGTGATTGACCTTTTCTATTTTTTATAGCTGAATTGAGTTTTATTTGGTGGTGAATATTGCCGTCGACTGCAGAGAAAAGGTGCTTATATAATCTCTCGGGTAGTCGAGGAAATCAACACGGTGCTTATATACTCTTACGGTTTAAGATAAATAACCTCTTTGCTTATTTCCTCTATGTTGTTTATTTCGTCAACTTGTGATAGTAGTATAAGCACCTCGGTTCTATTTGGTCATCAGATCTATACTCTCACATAAAAAAACAGTGTAACGCTAACCCATACCAACATACCTACCTTATCTCCGTAGATACATTTAACTCTAGCCTTTTTCTAAACTCTAACCCTAGCCATCAGCTAAATCACATTATGTATAACACTATTTTCCAGCAAGGATAAAAATGGCTAAATTATTTTTTTGCCAACGTGGAAAGAAAATTTTTAAAAATATATATTTTCTAGATGATAATTGGATATATCCGCCTGTCTGTCTTTCACTGGATATAATTTAGCTTTGAAAGAGCGTTCAAATGGTAGTTTAAATTCAAAGTATTCAAATGGAATGAATTCATTTTGTCATTCCCTGTAGTTTTCTTGAGATGGGAACTGATCTAAACAACTGAAATTCTAACAAAACATACTTTGGTAAATAAAAAGTGTATCGGGGAGAGGGGGGGGGGGGGGGGGCGGCATAAAGAAAGGAATAACCAAAGAAATATCAAATACAGCACAATTCACAAAGCAAGAAAAAAGGGGGGGGGGGGGGGGGGACAAATATAAAATTAATTTATTCAACATTTGCATATTTTTTTGTTGATTTTTAAAAAAAAAATTATCATTATTTTTTATTTTTTTCGCCTGTTGACCAGCTCGTTTAACTGCTGGTAAATTATGAGACATGTACCAATTTATTTACAGACCAGATTGTTCCATACTTTTTTAGCGCAATTTCCATACTGGGGGATTGCGATTATTAACTAGTCATTTCTGGATGGATGGATGTGTGGATGTGTGTTCGCAGGTTTAAGTCGTATCTCCTCCTCAACGAAGCAATATCGAGGACTAGTTCCAAAAACAAATATGTTAAGCAAGTTCCGAGGATGAACATAGGCTGAAAAAATTCCCGGAATTCCTTCCTGGATTTCCCGGAAAAACAAAAAAAAAACTCGAAAAATGCAGTTTTTTGCCCATATCTCGGCAACCAGACCACTTAGCGACTTGAAACATTTACCAATCGATTTCTGCCATAATTTAGAGCAATATTGCCGAAGAAAGTTTTCAAAAATATCCTTTCGTTCGGTCACAGATTTTTTTTCTAAATTACATAAACACCTACAAACCGATCGTTCTCCTAGCTTGAACGCACCCCATATCTATTTTTAGATAACATAAGGCAATTTCGCTTAAATTGTCACTAGACTTTTTATTAACTTGTTTTTATGTTTGAGAGACTGCCATTTTTGTGCGAATTCACATTTCACCAGGTTACACACCTAATGAATTTTTACCGGAGACAACTGTACCATCAAACTTAACCCACACCCTGAGTTTACTAGTATGGTAAACCAAGGACATTCCTAGTGGTTAGATGTGTGGCTATTACTGAGACTAAACAAATTACAATTATTTGTTGCATTTAACAGACATAATTTCGACTGCCTCCTTCTACGTCCATGCAAGCAATCTCTTCATCAAAATGGTGGATAAAAATCATGCTTTTATTATTTTAAAAGTAACATATAATGCAGCACTATATGAATCTAATTAAATTTAAAACAAAAAGAAATGTATTTTTTTGTCAAACAATTTCCATTTTTAGTTTATTTTTAGAAACACGCAGCTATTTTTAGCCCCAAACTATCGGTTTTTACTTTCTCGTATATACGTAGTATAGAGAAAGTATTGTAATCGTGCAAAAAAAAAAAATCGAGATTTTTACAAATCTCGACGTTTTACACCTCACTGATACGGAAAAACATAATTTTGCAATCTTGTCCGTATGTCTGTGTGTGTGTGTGTCTGTCTGTGTGTGTGTCTGTCCGTGTGTAAACACGATAACTTGAGTACCGTTACAGCTAGGTTGATGAAATTTCATATATAAGTATTTTATCAAAATCGTAGATCCGTATCAACTTTTGAGCGATTTCCGATAACCGGAAGTGGTACTTTTCCTACTTTGAATTTTTTAAAAGCCTATAACTTGAGTACTATTTCAGATAGATAAATGAAATTTCACATGTAAGTAAAAGATCTAATTCTCTACCTTCTGTTAAATTTTGAGTAATTTCCGTTGACAGGAAGTAGTAATTTACGCTACTTCCGATTTCTCAAAAAACTAATGTAAATTTTAAAAGTACTAATAATATTGCGCACTATTATGCGCTTTTTTATTTCGCGTTCACTTGGTGTGCAATTAATTTGTCTACGAGATTTTATTCTATTTTTAAAACTTTAAGTATTTAAAATGGATTAAAAATCATGTCTATAGCCCGAGTTCCCATCCTCTGTTATTTTATATAAGAATATTCGAGAAAGTTTAGGGGAGATCACTCCCGGTTTATTTAATAACTTTTTCACTTTTTAATTCCAGCTTTCCCTAACAACGTCTAATCATTGAAGAAGGGGAGATTATCACCAGCAATTACTTCAACTATTATTTGATAAAGAAAAAGAAAGGGAAAAAATTCTTTGCAACACACTGCTCCATAACACAACAAACCCACAGCCATCCCTAGTCGTAGGATCTCGGAAATCTCCGCCAGCCAATGGAAGATGTCGGGCCGGGCGAACCAATGGGGTGGGCTGGCGACGGGTGACGCGGAGCCATCGACCCACGGGAAGACCCGCACCGACCCTCCCGACAAACGCGAGGCGCGCACGGGCAACAACTCCGCGGTGACACGAGACAAGTCGCGGCCCTTGTCAAACTACGAGCCGACCTGCGAGCCCCGAGCCAGCCCCACGCCTCGCCAGCCCATTTCAAACTTGGACAGGAAGAAAGAAAAGCAGAGCGTTTCTTTGGATAATCTTTTACACAGCACTTCCGGTTCGCCATTTTGGATTGATTCATCCCCGGCTTCGAAGCTTCTAGACACGTCCCAGCTTTGTTCTCACCCTTGCAAACACCAACAGGGGCGGGAACTCCGTCTTTCAGACCACCTCACCTCCGACCCGCAATTTACCCGCACTCAAGATGGCGGAACAGGAAGTCCGCCCATGCGCGATGAACTCAGTCACGGAAGTTCCAGTGGAAATGACGTCACGTTAACAACGATCTGTGATATTCCGGAAAAAGAAGTGGTTCGCTACAGGAAAGATTACCCCACGAAGGTCGAGGGTTCGGATCCCGCTCTATCATCTTCGCCCTCTGTGTCGCCTCGGTTTACGCGATGCAGACGACAAAGTCGCGTCAACTCGTCTGACGACCCCAACAGCGGTACCATCACCGCGCAGGACAACATCACCCTCTCCGGTAGAGACAGCATCAGCAACCCAACCGAATCCTGCTATAAATTTTACCTAGACGGGAAATCCATCGACGGCTCGCCGGATAAAAATTCCGCCAACAAGAACAGAAGATCTCTAGAACCGGAGGAAGCGGAAATCAGCAATGTGGACAGCTCTTCTAAAAGATCCAGCGGCACCATCGGGGTCGACAGACACTCCTCCCTCGACCAGGGTTCGAATCTCAGTCTAACCAACAGCGATGACCGACGCTCGGAGGCGAACGACAGCGGTCACAAGAAGAAAAAAAAGAAAAGCAAGCGGAAAGACAATGAGAAATCCACATTGTCGATTGGCACTTCCGGCCGCGGCAGCAGCAGCCAGCGTCACGACGACAACGGCACCACCGACGAAGACATCGCCCGACCGCCGTCCGTCTGCAGCAGCACCAAAGGACACCGCCGTTTCGCAAAACGTGGGTTAGGTGCGTTGCCGAGCTCAAACTGGCGCCGGCTGCGAAATACCTTGAAAGCCGCCAATGAAATGCAAAGCAACAAGAAAACCAAACACGCACTGAACCGTGAAGACTCGTTCTTGAGAAAATTTTCCACGCGCAACCACCAAAACGTTCAGAATAACTCGCAGTCTACGGACGAGGACGTGCCGAGGGCGCCGTGTTCTTCCGAGAAGTTCAACAGCCGGTTCGTTATCCAGCATGACGGAAACTTCATGTTCTACTGGCTGGGCGTAGTGACGGTCTCAGTGCTGTACAACGTGTGGACGCCCATCGCCCGTCAAGCTTTCAAGGAGATTCAAGAAGGCTGCAATGCATGCTGGTACTCCTTCGACAGCCTTTTCGATATTATTTACATATGTGATATCATAGTCCAGTTCCGGACTGGATACCTCGACCAAGGTCTCATGGTCTACGATTCGAAAAAACTTCGGCAAAGGTACACTAAATCCAAAGTGATCTACGTCGACTTCATCAGCCTTCTACCGTTGGATCTATTGCAGTTTGCCATCGGGGAACACCACCCGATGCTGAGGTTTCCGAGGTTCCTGAAAGTTTACCGGACCTTCCGGTTCCTGCACATGCTAGAATCCCGGACAGCGTACCCCAACCTGATCAGGGTGGCTAACCTGACGCACATTCTGTTTCTAGGGGCGCATTGGTTTGCGGCGTTCTACTACATGATCAGCGAGGCGGAGGGTTTCACGGGCGACTGGTCGTACCCTAAGCCCGTGGGGGAGTTCGCCAACGTCAACCGGAAATATTTACGCTCGCTGTTCTGGTCTACACTGACGTTGACGACCATTGGGGACCTTCCACCCCCGGATAGTAACAATGAGTAAGTCTAGAATTGATATTGACGTCATTCATTCATCAACATTCATTCAGATAGTTCTATTGTCCCTTTGCTATGCAAAAATATAATTTTTTTGTTAGATTTGTTTCATATGATTGATTAGCAGGTAATTGATTAGCAATTTTCTTTCTGAGAAAAAAGTCTAATATTTATATTGACGACATTGATTCATCAACATTCATTCAAATAGTGCAACTGTCCTTTAACATTTTTTAAAAATACAATTTTCTCTTTAGATTTGGCCCATTTGATTAATTAGCAGGTAATTAATTTAAAATGTTATCTTGGTATTAACAATTTTGTTTTCTGAAAAAAAAAAAACGAGAATTATCTATATTCTTCTCATACAATCTTTTCAGTACAACTTTAAACATTATAAATGACTGAATATTTCTAATATTATCTTAACATACATCTAAATAATTTTATATATGTTAAAGAATACATTAGTAAGAATGTTGTGATAGGAAATATCTCCGAAATATAGTCAAGTACAAGTTTCCCACCATACTCGTGATTAAATCAACGTTTAAAAATTGTTTTTTTTTTTGTAATATGTTTTTGAACTCTTTACTTGTAAACAACTGGTCATGATTTTGGAGTTCTCAGTGGGGGGGGGGGGGGGGGGAAGGAGATAAATTTAACGGTTTCATGTAGCAGGAATTGTCGTAGATATGGGGGTGTGAAGTTGGGGAAGGTTTCACACCCTACTGTCGAAAAGATTCCTCGTTGGACCTAGCGATCCATGGGGCAGATGAAGTAGAGTTCATATGTTTCTTGACCTCGGCATAAGAAGGGAAGGTGTGGTCAGCACTCTGCTTAGCCGCCGTTACTTTCCCGTATGTGAGTCAGGTACCCAGCACACCCCACAATAGACTACCCACACGGCCTCGGTTACAGTAATTGGCGAATCGCGCGTTAGTTATCTCTTACCTTGCTTTAAGTTTGAAAATAGTGAATACATACAAAAATAAATATTCGCGTACACACATACACACACATTCATAAACACGCATTTATATATATATATATATATATATATATATATATATATATATATATAAACTCCCCAACCACCTCTCCGCTCCACTGTAACCAATTCTGCCCACGCCACTGCTTGTCATATCGGTCATGTGAAACATAACTCTTCAGAAAAACAATGTTCGTGATCTACATTTCGAATATGAGGCTCATAGACATGGTCCGTTTCATATTTTTTCTATTTACATAGAAAACACCATAATGTGTTTGTCTGTTGACAATATGTTTGTGTCTGTACTTCAGGATTATAAAGGTTGATTCATTAATATAGTTGTAAACTAAATAATACATAGTATGAAGGCCGCTAGACCAGTGTTTCGTCCAGACTTTTATCTCCGGGGGAGGGGGGGGGGCGGACCAAAATCTCCGGGGGGGGGGGGGGGGGGGGGGGCACTTGAAATTTTCGGGGGCGGACCAAAATCTCCGAAGGGGGGGAGGCGGATTCTGTTAAAAGTATATATTTTATATATAAATTCTATATCGTTCGGGGGTTGAGGGTTGGGGGGGGGGGGGGGAAGTTAAATTTCTTCGGGTGGGGCGTGGGACGGGACGGAGGGGGGGAAACCTTGAAGAAACTCTGCGCTGGGTCCAGGAAGCACCTGCCATCACGTGACCGTGACAATGCCGATGTTGCTTGTGGGGTTTCTTTCAGACATTTTTTTTCCGGGGAGGGAGAAAAACAATTTCGAGGCTTCGGGTAGATGACGGTTGAAGTATTTGTTATTTTCATTTCGCCCGGGGGTGGGGGTGGCGGTGGCGGTGGTGTTAGACGTACCCTGCCGGTACTGTGTATACCTGACATAATATATAAAAAAATATTTAAAACTTAAAGATATTCCTTAACCAAAGGCAGAGGCGTAGAAACGGGGTGGGGGGGGTGTACATATGTCCCCGGACGCCGACCCTAGGGGTGCCAAAATAAGCTCATTTTAGCTGCTATTTTGAATTATAAATATGCAAAATATATGGAGGGGGGCGCCAAATTGAGGGGTCGCTACGCCTCTCACTAAAGGCGTATACACTAAGGTTAAAAAATATATAACATGCATAGCTAAATGATTAGCGCCTAGACAAATAGTAAATGTAGGGTGGGGGGAGGTGGGGGTAGGGGGGAGGGGTGAAAGAAAACTCTAATGTCATTCCAATGTTTGAATTTTCAGCAAGTCAAAGAAAAAAAAGGGAGTGGTGGTGGGGGGGAGGGTTGTAATTTTCTCGACGGCACAAAGATCTTTGACTTTGATACTCTTTATGTAGGACAGCATCAAGAAAGATAATTACTCTGTTATGGAAAAATGGGGGATTACTCCTGTTGATCAATCTAATAACTGTGTACTCCCCAACAGTGTTGAAATACGCAGTTGTTATAACCCGTTCAAGAAATCGATTTTTTTTTCGTGAATATGCGAAGTATTTGAAAAAAAATATATTTCAGGATAAAAATCTTAAAGATAAAAATAAAACTGTCAAGATAAACGCAGTGACTGCGCTAATTGCGCTAAAAAGTTGAAATTGCTACGTGTAAGGTGTAACAGTAGAGAATTTTCCCGCATGAAACGTGATGTAATTACTGCTCTGGAGCAACACGAGCTAAATCATCAGCCCGAAAATAGTTCCAACTTTTCAAAGCGCTCTCAGACAACCAACAGGTCGACAGATGTGTATGTATGAGTTCAACACAGTAAAATTACAGCTTCGTTACTGTACCGGCCAGATCTTCGTCCTTTTTATTACTACCTCCCCCCACCTCTATACATCCACCTCACTACACCCACCTCACTACCACTTCCCCACTACCACTACCTCACTACCCCTATCTCACTACCCGCACAGAACTACCCCCACCTAACTATCACTACCTCTCTGCCCCTACCTCACTATCAGTACCTTACTACCACTACCTCACTAACCTCACCTCACTTAACCAAGCTCATTACCTCTTCCTCACTACCACTACCTCACTCCCCCCACTTCAATACGCCCACCTCACTACCCCTAAATCATTTCCTCTTCCTCACCACCACTACTTCACTAACTCACTACCTCACTACCCCCACCTCACTACCCCCACCTCACTACCCCCACCTCACTACCCCTAGCGCCTACCCTCAGGACCAGGACACAAGTCTGGCTCCGACCCAGAGGCGTAGCGAAGGGGGGGGGACATATGTCCCCGGGCGCCGACCTTAGGGGGGGGCGCCAAAATGGGTTTGAAAAACAAATCGAAAGTTCGAAGGGAGGGTGCAAATCGAAAGTTCTAGGGGGGTGCAAATCGAAAGTTTGTCTCCGGGCGCCGAGAAGGGTCGCTACGCCTCTGCTCCTACCCACAGGAACAGGGCTCTAGGTTCCCACATCATATCTCTGGGAGTCGTTGGGATATACATACGATCCCACCACTTCAACGCCATCAAAATGGCGCTCAAATATCTGGTTCCGTCTAAAGGGAAACAATCGGTAACTTTCATCTGAGTCAAGGGACGTAGTTTGTATTTGTTTTTTAAATAAGCATTTCTGTTTTGTTTTAAAGAGTGTCTCAATATAAGTTAATTTTGCTATATATATTCTCACTAGAAAAAGTATTCCTAAAAAATCCACGAATATTTAGAATTTATTACAATTGAATTACTTAATTCTTTTAAATTACGTTCATAGACAAACCCTTAAGAATATAAAACAATTATCGTATATATTCATGTTTTTCCATTTCTGATTGCTACGTCTTATTCACTAGTGCTTTTTTTATTAATTTTTGGATCCCTCATGAATTGGAAGAAAAAATCTTGAATTTTAAGAAATTAATTGATATGATAAAGTACCTCAGGTGTGAAGATACACCAAACAGCATCTTACCCAACTCATTATAAATCAATATCATGAATATATATCAATGAGTAAATTACCCATACCTTATCTATCTATCTATCTATCTATCTATATAATTCTCTTCTTCGAGCCGTTAGAAAACAAGCTGCAAACGCTCTCCCTACCTCCCCACCCCTACATGGTTTTAGTGAGCTGTGTTCACTCTAAATGTTTACAAGCAGAGCCAACGATTTTAAACGTAGGGGGGGGGGGGAGGAGGGGGGGGGGGGAGGGAAGGAAGGGGGGGGGGGGGGTTATGGTCCTTAACGAGCTACTTATAGTGTTTTAAAGAATTATTTTCAGTGTCAGCGTTGGTACTGTCGAATTCACAAATTATGAATTATTGAAAATTAGAAACAACTAAATAGCGGCGTATGTTATGCCGCGGGCCGGCTCGTATACTTTATTCCCCATATATTACACACTCAAGTAGGCCTACTACAGTAGTACATCATCCCCTTTTCCTTATACCCCACCTCCACCGCCGGTCAGTTAGATATAGTGATACGGGTAGGAATAGGGGTGTGGTTTTATAGCAAGGGGAAGGGGGTGGTTATGACATAGAGTGATTGACAGGGGGTGATCCGAGTGAAATTAACCCCCGGTCAATTTAGCCCTATTTACTACCCCATCTCCTTACCTTTAGCTCACTACCATCACCTTACTACCACTACCTCACTACCCTTTTCACTAGCCCTAACTCACTACCCCTACCTCACTACCCCTACCTCACTACTTCTACCTCACTACCTCACTACCCCTACCTCACTAGCCCTAACTCACTACCCCTACCTCACTAGCCCTACCTCACTACCCCATCACCTTACTCCTACCTCACTAGCCCTACCTCACTAGCCCTACCTCACTCCCTCCCTAACTACCCCCACCTCACTCCCCCACCTCACCCCCCCCCCCCCACCTCCCTACACCCACCTCACTACCCCCACTGTGAGATCAGATAATAGACTGCAAAGGGATTATTTTCTAATCACCGATGAAACAAAGCGCGATGTAATCAAGGTATCTTCTAATATCACACTCACGCACACACCCATACATATATACACACACGTACACACATG